CATTGCTCACATTTGGAAGCATATATACACAGATCTAAGAATCTACTCTTCATCTACTTTCTCTGTCTCCGAAGGCCTGGGCCCGAACTCTTCCGTGAGCTGGTCCATGAACTTGGAGAAGGCGTCGCCGAACTCGGGATGGGCTCCATACTCCTGTCAGGGAATGTGCTTGCTCTTTGTTATTTAGTTGATCCACAAGCTGCATTACACCTCAAGATGCAAACCTAGTTTGTACATAGCTTCTAGCAGTAGTGCCAAACATTCACAACTATTGCCTACAATCCACATATTCTTATGATATTATGTACACGTAAAACTTTATATGTGCACACCCGTCCTTCATCAGTGCGTCAGGGATAAGGGGGTAAAGGTCCTGTCTTGGCGTCAGCAAATTCAGCCGTGGTGGTGCAGGTTCTTTCTCAAGGAGATCGGCAGGGCATTCTTCGGCAGGCTTCGCAAACCCAGGCACGGTCAAAGAACCATCCATGTGCAAGCGGGCAAGCCACTCCTGAGTCGTAAGTTTCCAACGATCAATCTACTAATGACTAGGTGTTATATGTAATGCTTTGTTGTGTTTCCTACAGAAGGTTTTCCTACAAAAAGGACTTTGCATGAATACACCTATCAGTTTTCAGAGAAGACGTTCAATCGGTTGAACAAGGCTACGGCTTATTATGCTGTAAAAACCGGTCTTCTCAAACAACTGCAGGACACCTGCTTGTGTAGATCAAACCACTCGGCAGTTCCGTGATCGTCCGTGCATCCCACATAGTAAGTTGGCATGTTCCAAGTAGACTTGAGTGCGGCAAAGGCCTCGAACATGTTCCCCACGCTCATGTTCAAGTCAATGACAAAGACCCCCGAACGGCCTGTGAGGGAAAGGTCCTTCATCATCCCTTGCAGCAACTTCTCACAGGCATTCTGACCGACCTGTTCAACTTTGCGGGCGCCGCCAAAGAGGTACTCTTCGGAATCAGGGGCTGCCATGACTGCACCAGTAGATGAATCCTCCAATGTTGCTTCAACAGCCACCATATCCTTTGTCAACATTTGCGTCGCATACTCGGTGCGGCCTTCTTTCCAAAGCAGGGCATTGCGCCATAGAAAGTCCTTTTCTTTCAATTTAGCAGAGACCCCCTCGAGGAATCGTCCACGATAATTCAAGGGCCGAACATTGTCTCTAGCGTCAACCTGCGGGGCAGTGTTGAATCTCATTCCCTCACTGAATTGGCAAGAGAGGGGAGCCGATCACATTAAGGCAGTGGTGTTATAGTTATAGTCTCAGTTCCTGAAGAAGCTTGCTAGCCGCCTTTCAATTTACTTCATTCATAAGGAGTGGCCAGGCCTTGCTCTGGAACTGAAGCGTGAAAGATCGGTCCAAAGAAACCCCTTTGTGGCAAAGCATTTTCGTGATCGCGTGCTCCAGAAGCCAAAGCTCATTCTTGCGGTAGGTGAACTCTGGGCAAAGCATCATCCCAACATTGCGTCCGCTCTGGCCGAGAATGAAGGCTGCAGCCCCAGCCTGCGCAGCCTGCGTGGCGTTCTTAACCGTGCTGGGAGCAGACCAGTTGAGATACAGCAGGCATGCCTCGTGTGTTGCTCCACTCCACCATGAACCATGAATACCCGGCTGGTCGTCTTACCACAATACTGACACCGAAACATGACAGCCAAGAATTGGCGCGAAAATACTTGGTCGAGACACATCGGAAAATCATCAAAAGTTTGTTGCATGATGGGAACAAAACAATTTAAATCGCTATCAATTTTCAAGTCTAGACACATTTCCCGACTCATCAAGCTTCAGTTGGGCAGTTTTCTCTCCCATGAAAGGTGTGATCAATCCGCCATGAAGGACTTGGCTGCCTTGATTGATTCATTGAAGGTTTGCACACGGTATTGCAGCTTAGCATGGTGCACTTGGAGCTGCCACGATGTACGTTTGGCCCTCGAAACCCTCAGAGCTTGTACGTCATAGTCAAGCTGTTTCATTTTCAATGCAAAGGTCTCTGCCTCGAGCTTCTCCATTTCCATCACAGCCTTTGATGGTAGGGGGGTAGAGCCCGTGTGCTTGTTCATGATGCTGGCGAGCGTTGCAATCTCGGACACGTTTGGACAACTTCTGTTCATGATTGCACTCTGGACTTCCAAGACCACGCCCGGATCTCCATTTTCATAGAGTTCAACCCAGCCAGTGTGCAGCGCATTTGGATCCACGGGCATGGCCTGAAGGACCTCGGCCTTCACAGCCACGACAAAGGCGGCCTCCTCAGAAAGGCTCTCCATTTGCTTTTTGTCGAGTTTCTTCCGGAGATTGGCCGGGATCTTGCGGTGGGAGTTGATCTGGTGCTTGACCTTAAATTTTGGTCTTAGGTTTGGCAAAAAGAACCTTTCGGGAATCTTTCTCGACAGACTGGTTGAGTTGCATTTAGAGCATGTTCTGATCTTTTCTCGAGATAACGCCGACAAGAAACCATGACCCTGTTGCTTTCGTCCGTGACCTTGCCACGAGCCTGCCACACCGGCCCAGCGTTGGACTTGAACCTCAGCAGCGCCCAAAGTTTTCTTTTTATGAATTTCCTGCTCCTCTATAATTTGAAGGCCTCCCAAATTTTGTTTTGAGCTCAATAGAAAGTTGGTTAAAGGTTGAAGCAACGATGACACCAAGGAACTGGAAGCCCGGTAGGCACTTCTTGGAGCTAAGGTTGTCATCGGTCCATGGAGTGTTCTCATGTCCAACGTTGACCGTGTAGTCTATCAGAAGCTTCCGAGCCTCTCGGTCAAAGTGCTCCATGATGTTTCTGACCGCCTGAGCCTTCATGCCAAGGAGTTGTCCCGTCTTGGACGCCTGCCGATTGTTGTCTCGTACCTCAGCTGGCGACTTGGCTCGGGAAGGATGAATTTCGTTTGCCTCCGGGACATGTGAAAGAGATTCAAGAGTTTGTGAGGCATGTGGACTGATAAAGAAAATTTTGCTAAAATGTCATCCTCTAGCGAGACACCAACTGGGCAACATCCAGGTTCGGCTCATGCGTCATCAGGTTGCTTATTGTTGTTACCCAGGTACTTGGCAGGGGCAAGATATTGAAGCCAATGTTCAAGAACACACCATGAAGATTTCAATCGTAGATTTCCAACCGCCTTTCTCTTGTTTCATGCGATTCTGCACTTTGAACATTATTCAATCTTAGGCCCGAACATGATATTCGGCGCTTTGCGAATGGAGTTTCGCACGGAGATAGTTCCCAAGCATTTCTTCGCGCTTTGAAGAGACCCACACTCGCACACAATGAATGTTGCGGATGCTGTCGAGCAGCTTGGGGTGGTTCTGGCGCAAAGTTTGATGATTTTGACCGTGAGCCCTCAATCAATTATTTTCCGGTCATGAAAATCAGTCAGGACAGTCCAATACCCAAAACAATTATATACTTTGAAGTTGCTGTTGAAGTTGTTGGTATTATTGTAGTTCCCAACTATTTCAGATGACCATGCACAAGGCGCCTCTGCCCAATTGTCGAGCTTGAGGTCCCTAGCAATTGAGAGTAGGCTCATCAATACAGCCACCCTGGTCTTGCCCTTGAAATAGCCCAAGGTGAATGGAAGCGCAGTGCCAGAGCTGGTTCGCCAAGGCGCGGAAATCAACTGACCGGCAAACAATTTTTGGCAGTGTACCCACTAGCACATGGAGAACATTGGGCCTTTAAAGTAAGACTGACTGGGCAACAAGACTGGCGATTGGCTTTCGTGGGAAGATGCTGAAGTAAACAATTTCTCTTTTTCTTGGATTTGACACCGAGCCTCTGGGTGGCCTTTTGCCAGAGTTTCTGATTGAATCAAAAGCAAGGGTTCGTTTGCCGTCATGAAACCATCAGTCAAGATCTCCTCCAGCATCAAAAGCACCGTGTCATTCTCAGCCGGGCCCTTGATGGAAGACTCTGCCGCGTAAGAAAACATGGCCGGGTGAACCCTGAAACTTTGCGCCTGCAAGCAGAACTGTGCATGTCACACACCGCCCGAACTTTACACCTTTGGCAGGTGTCCGGCTTTTTCCGTTTTTAGCCTCCAAAAAGATCCAAAACGGACACCTCCAAAACCTTGCCCTTAAAGGTGTTTTCACCATCTGCCAATTTTCCACTTAGATTGGCCTGCGAAAAAGGACCCCCACAAGTCCGGCTTTCACCCTTCAAAACCTGCGTTTCAGGCAGGTTGACCTGGACTTGTGGGGGTCTTTTTTCGCAGGCCGACCCAAGTGGAAAATTGCAATCACCATCCCCCTTTAAAACTAACGTGGTATATCTTATTGGTCGGCTTGCTTCACCCATTCAAGATTGGTCAATCAGGCGTACGAGCGCTGATGCCTTATGGCAACTTGAAAGCTTGGTATTCAAAAGAAGCCACGAGAAAAATAACTACTTTTTGCGGGGTGCCCTTTTTCGGTGTAAATAAACTCAAAGAAGCCCTCAAAAAGGGCACCCCCCCAAAGTAACAACTTTTAAGATGCATCCTCTCGGCTTGTGTTGGTAACAGAATCACTACTAGACCACTTCTAGTTTGGCCTATATACATTCTGGCTTTCGTTTGAAAAGGAGTGCATCATCACAGCATTCGACACTTGCGAGTTTCAGGCCCGCTGCCTGACTCATGTTGCTCAAGTTGGTCACAGGCAGGTCCGCAGAGAAATTGAAATCGCTCGCATCCAGCGGAACATGGTGAACCAAGTAGTTGAGCCATTCGTTCAACTGATCCTGGCTGGCAAATCGGATCCTCAAGTAGTTTTCTGGGCCACCAAACTCACTGAGCATCTTTGTCATGGCCTCCCGGATCTTTCTGGAAAACCTCAACATGAACACTGGCAGGGCGATGTTCGTCAAGATCCCAGGCTGCTGCCACGGAGAGGCCAGCAGACTCAGTGGACCCGTCAAGCGACTCCATGTCCCCCATGGCGCAAGAAAAAGCACTGGCGGGAACTTCCACCACTTGAGTTCTCAAGTTGCCCACTGACTGACAGATCGACATCGAGACACTTGAGAATGTCGAGTTCAAACTCAGTGCAAGATTAAAAAAACATTTATTGAAATCCATGACAACTCAGAGATACACAACTTGCCGCCAAGGATGTGGTGAAAAAAATTTTTTTCGTGATAACTTTGTGGGGTGGGTTAGGTTTCACGATATCCTTGGGTACAAGATGTAAGACCTAGGATATGATGGATTCAGAGTGTTGCTGGAAAGTTATCACGAAAAAAATTTTTTCACCACATCTCCGGGAGTGAGATTCTGTCACCAAAGATGTGGTGGTTTTGCGAATTCTTTTTTTATATATATTTCTGTCTCTTTTTCTCTCTCTCTCTCTCTTTTTCTCCCCTGCTTTTCCCAAGCTCAAAGCCAAGTCAAAATTGCGCTTCTGGGCTATTCCAGGCGCCTGAAATCAGTCTATGGCAGGTCTTCGGCTGCCTGAACCAGGGCCGTTGACAGCCCCCTGGGGTAGATTTGTGACCAGGTACTTAAGGAATGGCCGAGTTCCTGCCCCTGCACAACTGTGTGTGGTACCGTACAGTTGCATTGCATCAAGCTGAATGTTTGGGCAACAGGCGCAGCATTCGTGAGAAACCGAGTCCGTTTTTTGATTGGGGCACCAAGCGGTGATGTCAATCCCAACCTGCATTGGTCGAAATTGACAAACCTGGTGTTTTGCAACCTGAGCGCATCGGTGACCCTTGGCAGGTTCCATGATGAAGCCGCTACTGGGTTCTCCAGCACGAAGCCCAACTGCTTTGAAGATTGGAGCTCGCATAGTTCAAGGGCATAGTTGAACATCAGCTCGGCCTTAGCCATCCGGTCGTCGTACTCTTCTTCGGTCCACAGCTTCACATTCCACATCCTGGAAGGTTGAGCAAGGCAAATGCTAAGACCAAACGTTTTTGATGTAGATTCTAGATTTTTTTGGCACAGCTGTCCTTGTCAAAGCGCTAAACATGGTACAAGGAGGTGATAAAACAAGTAGTTTGGGACGCAAAGCATGGATCATCTTCTTCAATTGGGCCCGCATGTGCATATCAAGGCAATCCCACCCATTGTAGGTGATATCAAATGCAAAGATTGCATCGTCGTTGTGTGCCCACCTTTGAGCCACTGCAGTGACACGTGGGGGGGAGAAGACTTCGGAGACCAACTGTCGCGGGATAGGTTGCACTTGCTTCGGGTTCGACAGAATGGCCTTTTCCAAAGCCTTGAAATTTCCGACTAAAGTATGCACACGAACAGGAGCATCATTCTTGGATCTCTTGGGAGCTGGGTCCTGAACCTCACTGCCACCGTCTTCTGACTCAGACTCAGGCAGGCTTGGGAGATGGACGTCGCCTTCCAGAACACGTTGAGAATCATCATTGTCACTGGGCACCAAGTTGGACTCAGAAGAGGGAGACGTCGGAAGGTCGACTTCAAGGTCATTACCATTGTCATTGAACATCGTGACCTGAGGACTAAACTCAATATTCAAACAACTGACCCCTAGTATGGAAATCCGATACTTTTCTGGGCTCTTAATTCCAAACCTTTGTGAAAATTGCATGGGCTGACTAAGCCCTGGACCCAAGACTGGCTCTGTTGTACAGCCACGTGGCAACTGCTTCTGAACAAAATACGACTTCACAAGGCAAAAGGTTCAGGGTCATGCACGGACGTCAATTCCATTCAACACGCGCCACACTTGGCATCTCGAACGACTGAATCTTTCTTAGGCCAGGTTTGGAATCGAAGACAAGGACTCGGGCGTTTTCTCTTACCGATGGTCGCTGCGATTAAAGCTTCAAGGGAGCGCAAACAACAAGTAACTCAACACAACTGCATTTAGAGTAATACTTTCAAGTTGAAGGCATTTCCTCAATGCGCTGCAATCAATGGAAACAAAATTGAATGCCCGAAAGTTCTTTTTTAGGCATTATAGATCTTTTTCGGGCATCGACTCAAGTCGGCTCATAACTCAGCCATCATTACGCTGCTGTGTGTAGCGTTGATGTAGATCACGGCATCGAGTGCAACCATTCACCGAGAAGCGACACTTGGAACAGCCCAATCGATCTTGCACGACTTTTGGTGGGCGCCCTGGTCGTCGCGCAGGACCAGGAATTTCCTGCAGCGAAATGAAGGCTGCAGGCGCTGGACTTTTTGGAAAGCTTGAAAACATTGTTTGCCCCTAGAGACCAAAAACTAACAATAATCATTATTATATTAGGCTGTTCAAGTCAAAGCTCCGAGTCTGAAGTCACAGCCGCCGCTGGCCGTTTCATGGTGGCTTTGGCCTTGCCTTTCGCCTTGGCCTTGACTTGTGGTTTCGCCTTGCAAGCCGCTTTGGCACGAGGACCGACTCTCATTGGCTGGGCTGGCCCAGCTACAGCTGGTGGACCAGGCTTTGCTTTGATGGGCTTGGGCGGGTCCGGGGCAAACTCTTGGAAGCGCTCACATTCAGTCAAAACTGACTCCCCACAAGTGATCGAGACCTTCTCCAAAACAAAGCGCGGAGCTGCCTTTTGCACCTCTTGGACATTGTCTTCAACCCACTTGGTGAGGTAGCTGGCGGCACGTTCCAAAAACCAAGGCGGTGTTGAGACCAACATTGCTGTTTTCAAGTATTCTTTCTGCAACTTCTCAGCCAAAGCATTTCGAGGTACAAGACCTTCAGGACCTGTCAGCGGCATGGCCCCAGCCGAAAGTGTTGACTTCTTCAAAACCACCATGGGGTTTTGTGATAAGTGGGTCTTGCTCATGTGCTCCTTCACAAGCAACACAATGTCATCGTCGGAGGCCTCCTCTGGATTGGTCTTCTCGAGCTCTTCAACGTTCCAGTTTTCCTGAGGCGCCGCCGCCGCGCATAATGATCAAAGTCATGTTTAGTAATCTTGCGCCTTTACCATAGTAACCGATCAAATGTTAAGCTTAAGACAGCCACCAGCCCCAAACAAAATTGACAGTGATTCTGGCAATGTTCCACTTTGTTTGGCCAAGGGCCCGTGCAAGAAATGTCGCCCCCAAATCGGCGTTTCTTGCATCATGGCATGGGCCCTTGGCCAAGCAAAGTGGAAAATTGACAAGTGATTCTTGGCAGGGTGTTGCTTATGAGTTGAAACAAAGAGAAAGTGAAGGTGCAAAACGAATGCCGTTTTGGTTTGGACGTTTGGCAAGTCAAGGGGTCTTTTTCCGCTGTGGTCTGTATAGTGATACGGTCAAAAAACCTGGCAGGCGCTGCCATGTTCTCATATTCATGGGCGTCGAGGATAAAGTTCCACGACATGCATGAAATCGTCCATCACAGATGCGAGGTCTTTCTTCCACTCTGAGTTTTCCGGGAAGATATCCATCAGTAGATCCAAGGTTGCTTCGAACTCTTCGCGTGCAAAAACATACGGCTGCCAACATATGGCAGTCATTGGCTTCAGCACGGGGCTCGGGGCCATGCCATGAAGTGGTATAAGGGCTCGTTGAAAAGGCGTCCGATGAGACATGAGTTTGGCTGCTGTGCAAAGCTGCCACCACTTTGCCACTAGCTCTGTAACGGGCTTGATGCCGACTGTTCCGCAGATGTTCCGGGCCAACTCCCTCGACCTCTCCAATTTCTCGAGGCGGTCAGCCTGTGGGCGTATCTGTCGTTTCTCGATTGGGATGTTTTCTTGTCCGTTCAACCACACAAGGCATACGTGGAGCAACTGGTGGAATAGTGGGCAATTCTCACCCCATCCGGTAATAGGCATGGCTCGCAGAAAGCAAAGGGTGATTGAGCGCGGGATACTTTAAACTAAGTTTGGATTTGGACCACGCAAGCTGCTGTCAGATTTGCTCCAGGCTTAAGACCATGAAAAACACGTTTCCATTGGGATTGCTACAGCCCGATCCGAATGTCCTAAATAATAGTAGCCACCCCGACAATTCTTGACACTTATAGTTTGCACGCGACCGCACCCAGTCGCAGATCACCCCAGGATCGATTCTACCATTTGGCCGAGGTTCGTGCCCCTTGTACAGCTTCAAATCACCCCGCTTGATGAACCGGAAGGCGTGGTTGACAGACTCCAGTTGCTTTGTGATAGCCAGGCCCTCATAGTGGAGGTTGGATGGGGACAAGAAGCTTTGCCAATCAAGCACATCATCGATAATTTCACAACGAAGTTCACGTCCAGCAGCGGGAGGAATGGACGCTATGCAGTCCCGGAAATCCTACTAGATTCAAATGAACTGACATCACAATTCATGCTGTCCCCTGAACCCAATAAGGAACCCTATAAGGTCTATTTTCCATATGGTGAGGCCACAAGGCAGTGATATGCGTTCATTTTTCATAACCCTGCGTCCTCGGGGCATTCGAGCCTTTCTTGCCGTGAGAGAGCTGAACTGAGAACGAAAAAACGTTGATCAACTTCATTGTGAGTATGGCCAACACGGTAGTATGCTTGTTCGATGCTTGTTGCTGCACCCATTCCCACCATCCATGCACACCACAGCATAGTCCAGGAGTTTCTTTGGTCACGTGTGGTGTTATCCGTTTGAATGCAAAGATGGTGTGGGACCTTCAAGTTCCGCTGCTGCAGGATCTCCTTCGTGATCTGTAGCGCTCTGCCTCAAGGCGGGCTGGGCCGAGCTGGCTCAAAGACTCTGTTGTACACAAACAAGACCCCAAGTCTGTAGACTTTGGTATCACAATGACGTAAATAATAGTAATTAGCAATGTTGGCCAAGTGCCCGACATATGACCGTGAGGTTGGTGCTTGAGCTCTTCTGAACATCCGCGTGGCAAATGAAATAGCATTCTGCCACACCATGGATGATACATCCAACCACATGCAATGAGGGCCTGTAAGCTGTGCTGAACTCCTTGCTTGAACTCAAATTCCGTGGTACTTTGTATTTCGCCTCGGTTCGTTCCGGCCTACTAGCTTGTCGCAGCTTTTACTAATTGGCTGATGGCAGTAGGCAATATATAATGATTTGTAACACGCATGATTTGTAACACGCATGATGCCTCCAAGCCTGGTCCATTCCATCGAGCGCTATATATAGCATCCCTTTCTCTGCTGGAACACGAAGCTCTTCTTTTGTGCTAGATTCGGATGTGAGCGTCATCCGACGAGCGCAAGACCGGTCTGCGAAAACACCAGCAACATGTTCCGTCTTGGCTTCTTGCACTTTGAGGCGGTCCTCGGCTGACCTGGCCGACCTTCGCCATTCGCTGAGCCGAGAACCTCAAAAGATGATGATCAAATTTAAGAAGTTGATTGATACAACAACATCTTGCAATTCATTTTTGGTTTTTTGCCATGAGACAAGTCATACACCGAGCGTGTTGCCCAACTTGACGTATCTTGAGAAGAGATCGCCATCTTTTGAGTTCGAGCCGGAACACCGAAACAGATGCAATGCTTTTGCCTTGATTATGCAGCTCGTACATCTCATACAACTCCGGAATGGAAATCGGATGAAGCCACCTGACAGGGATTGTTGCGCTTGGCGCCTGCAAAAAGCGTTTGGGGACATGCTTTCTGTTTATTAAGTCTTGGGCGTTTGTCTGACCTGACTTCTGCAGTGTTGGTTAACCCAAGAGCTGCAGCTGCCACTGGTGTAGCATCCGTGTCATTCATTTGACCAGGCGCAATTTCGTTAATCGTGTTTGTCTTCTTGTTGATCCAGTCCAGATAATCGTCATGATCATCCAAAAACCTTCAGTTCGAATGAAGAGCGAAAGCAGCAACCTTCGATTTGATTAGTAGTTAGTTACTAATATATATATATATATAGATAGTATTGCGCGGGCAACCCTTGGGTTACAAATCGAGAAGCTCTTCCGGCTGACACTCACCTGGAGTTTCGGCCAGAGGCTCAGCCATATGGTCATAGAGCCATCGGAAAAAGGAGCGGCAATGATCTCGGGCAGGACAATCCCGGCATGGGCGCTCGGATCGCCCATCTGTAGGACCCTCGGAATCACCTGCTTTGATTCGCTGCCTTGGTTGCGTTTATTTCAGCATGTTATGAATAACAATCCAAACATTGCTAACACAACTTATGGCTGAGATGCAAATGCTTCAACATGGTGTTCTTTGATATTGACGTCATTTGTCTGAAGGCAGTGACGCACATGGTTTCCCCAAGAAATTTCCATCCCCGTGAAGGGCCAGAACCGGTCCACCCATGAGGCTCCTGACAGGACGTTGGAGAAGTGTAATTTTTGATAGACTGAACGATGTGACCTACTACAAGTATTTTGCATGTCACATATGCCATGTGGTTTGTTTTCGGTTTTGGTCCTCCTCGAACGCACGCTTCAAGAAATTGAAGATGAATTTGGACCGATCCGATGTTTTTTGATTGAGTTCTGTGAGAAACTGCTGGCGACTCAGCTGAAAGTCTTCCTTTCGGGTGATCCGAGCTAAGCACGCTCGATTGCAGCACGGAAGTTGGTACCTTGGCGACTCACTTCAA